CGTCAGTAAAGGTGTTATAATCTCCAACCCAAAATCAACTGCAGTTGTACCGTCATGTACTTTTAAACAAGATTCTAGAGAACATAGGAAGGAAAATGAGCATTTCGATCATATTTTGATGACATGCAAAGAGCTCTATCAACAGCTTCTTGACACCCATGTAGTGTCACCATATCCGGTGGAACCTATGAAGCCATATACCCCAAGTGGTATGATGAGAATGCTCATTGTGAATATCACGTCGGTGTCCCAAGGAATATTATTGAGAACTGTTACGCATTCAAGAGAGTCGTGCAGAAGATGCGTAACCAGAACTGGATCGACTTCAACAACTTGGGGGCATCCAAGTGAGGAAGATCATTTCATCATTCGAGGCTTTTTGTTTGAATTTGTTTTTTTTTCATTTTTTTCTCAGATTTTTATAAAAACATTTTAATACATTTATGCTACTTTAAGGATTGTGAGCAATGAATCAAATTTACAACTTGAAATTCTTTAAATATCAGCTGAATTAAGAAACTTTGTAAGTGATCGGAGTTACAGATCTTTGACAAAGTAAAACGATTAAAAGTTAATAAAACAAAGGACTTTGACCTTACCCAGAAGATACGCTCAAACACCGTACCATTCTCTTACAAATAACCAATATAGCATTCTCCCTTCATAAGGCTTGGTATTTAGATATGCATAGGTGCGGACATCATGGGGCATTTTTTGTATGTGACAATTACTATACTTTTTGTTTTAAGACGTTCAGTGATGATAATGATCTACACAGATGGAATAGTCGAGTAAGCAAATCTAGTTTAGGTCAGTTGTTTGGAAATTGAACTCTAAAGATGAGATTCCTTGACTTTCAAAAACACCTAGACTATAACAGGTTCTTCTTGACAAACTTAAGAAATTGGACCTGTATACCCAGATTATAATATTATATATATATACAATAAAGCTTGAGCTATCCCTCTAAAGCAATTGGTTAAACGCCCCGGCTTTATGGATAAGATTCAGTTAGCCTGATAAAGGTGATTATAATATCTATACAATAAAGCTTGAGTTGTCCCACTAGAGCAATTGGTTAAACGCCCCGGCTTTATGGATAAAATTCAGCTAACCTGATAAAGGTGTTTATATATTGAGCTGTCCCTCTAGAGCAATTGGTTAAATGCCCCGACTTTATGGATTCTGCAAGACAGACAATGGCAAATTAAATAAGGAGTTTTGGTAAAAATGGACTAAGGGAGTTAGGGAACACCTGTTATAGCCAAGTTCACACGAGCACTCAAGGATTTTATTTTTAGACCGATATTTCTGCACTACCTTTGTTAGAGGAGCTTACAAAACTTGAACAAATGAAAGATTTCAAAGAATCGAAATAGAAGGTCTAGTAATTGATAATGTTAGTTGCGTCATTTTGTCCGCATCCAATTAAAATGCCAAGCCAAAGAAAAATCATTTGCAATAACCGAAAAATAACATTTTTTATGGCTGAAACCTTAGGTTAACCTAAAGTCAGCTCATCAATTTGAACATTTGTCAAAGAGCTATAACTCTGAAAGCATTTAAAAAGCAATAACTCTGAAAGCATTAAAAGAGTTATTGATTCCTTTGATTTTCTTTAAACTCGTGTTTATAATTTGATTCGATTGCGAGCCTGAATCAAGGAGCAATATGTTACAAAATTATTCTATTTTCATATCATTTTTCCTTCTAAATAAGAGAAAGGAAAAAACATTTTCAAACAGGATAGTCTCAAATGTGAAAAGCTACAACCCAAAAAGAAAATGGTGCATGAACAATTCCAAGGATCAAGATCGACAGACAAAGCACGAGACTCTGTCCAAGTCTAATTCATATTGCATGCATCTTAGACATACTTAAGAGCATTACATTTATCATTTTTCAAATGGATAATTTTTTGCAGCTTTCAGAGTCAAGTTTCGACTTCATGACGAAATATACTCGATTCGAAAGCTCCTTTAAAGATCGATGGTGGTTGCTTGACTCAGCAGTAAGAAACTACACCTCAACTGACTTGACATATCTACAGATCTCAGAATCAATTTTAGATGGGTTCGAGAGCCAATTCAGAACGAATCCAGACCAACTTAACTCAATAACGAGTAGCAGGTTTCCAGTTAACATTTTCAAGCTGGATTTCAATTCCACGACGGAAGATATCTGGCTGACAGAATTTATCAGTGGGTTTTCCCGTGAAGGGGAGTCATCCAAAAATCATATTACTTGGTTCACACCCGCTCAGATGAACCACCTGAAGAATTATGACCGGCTTAGACCCGTGATGGGAGGCCATTTTTTTAGAAACTATCGGTAGCATAACTCAAGACTAGAAGGGTTATCTGCCAACCAAAGACCTTCGAATTCGACTACGCTCAGCTTCAAGGCACATCATTTGCAGCATAACTCAAGGCTAGAAGGGTTATCTGCCAACCAAAGACCTTCGAGTTCGACTAAGCTCAGCTCCAAGGCACATCATTTGCAACATAGCTCAATGCAAGAAGGGTTATTTGCCAGCAAAATACCTTCGAGTTCGACAACACTCAGCTCAAAGGCATATCATTTGCAGCATAAACTCAAGGCTAGAAGAGTTATTTATCAACCAAAGACCTTCGAGTTCGACTATTCTCAACTCCAAGGCACATCGTTTGCAACATAGCTCAAGGCAAGAAGTGCTATTTACCAACAAAAGATCTTCGAGTTCGACTACGCTCAACTCCAAGGCACATCATTTGCATCATAACTCAAGGCTAGAAGGGTTATCTACCAACAAAAGATCTTCGAGTTCGACTACACTCAGCTCCAAGGCACATCATTTGCAATATAGCTCAAGGCAAGAAGGGCTATTTGCCAACAAAATACCTTTGAGTTCGATTACACGTAGCTCAACGGCACATCATTTACAGTATAGCTCAAGGCTAGAAGGGCTATCTACCAAAGACCCACGAGTTCGATTACACTCAGCTTCGAGGGTACATTATTTACAACATAACTCAAGGCTAGAAGGGTTATCTGTCAAAAAAAGACCTTTGAATTCTATTATACTCAGCTCAACGGCACATCATTTGCAGTATAGTTCAAGGCTAGAAGGGTTATCTGCCAAAGACCATCGAGTTCGATTACACTCAGCTTCGAGGGCACATCATTTACAACATAGCTTAAGGCAAGAAGGGCTATCTGTCAGCAAAATTGTCGAGTTCGATTCTATTCAGCTCGATGATAAATCAATCACACTACTTTCCGGTGGTAGCCGAGGTTTTCAAGTCAAGAAGATGACCTAGGTTAGATGTGCCTTAGTGACAAGAAATTGTTTTCCGGCAGCTATCTGTCAACGAAAATCATTCGAGTTCGATTTCATTCAGCTCGAGGGCCTATCAACCACATGGTGGAATTAAATAAGTACTTTACAGTCGAATTTTTAAACCGAGGTCTTTAAACTGAGAAGAATACCGAAGCGGACTACAACGAGAAGCCACATTTCAATTCAAATTCTGAACTACGACTTCAATTCCATATCATTTCAAGTTGAACTCGACTTCGCGACGGATGAGTCATCTGCAACTCAATTCTACAGGGAGTTATTCTTAATTGAAATACCAAAGTCAATTTTCAACTCCATCGGGCGAAAATTTGTGTCTTTTTATCTTTGTCCTATTTTTTCGTTTCACGAAAAAGGACAAAGAGAGATACTTGTAGACACTAATTTTCTGTCTCTCCTCACACCAACGACCCCAAGCTTTACGACCGATTTTCTCGGCACCAACGTCACGAATCCAACAAACAACTAACCAACCGAGAGTTTCACTTAGAGATAAACTCCCAAAATTAGGGTTCATAAGCACTATAAATAAGATGTAAATTCACATTTAAAGGGGGAGTACACGAAAATACAGAGAAAAAATAGAGGAGGAGACATTCGAATTGAAAAAAGCATTCGAACTGAAAATAGAGGAAAGCTTACATTCTCTTCAAAGAGTTCTCGTCGAGCCTTTATCGAAAAAGGGGGCTCTCGTTTTTCGAAGTCTTCGGCTGACCAGGTTGATCACACGAACGACAGCTCTGGGTTATGTGCTCCTCTCCCCTGTTGAAGAAGAAAACAGAGATAGAGAAAATTTCACTTTGTTTTGATTCTATGAACAACTAGAAATAAGGGTGGTTTTTTTTTTACTTTTGGGTAAATCATTCATTAGGTCCTTTATTTATAATATACTTTATGCTATTGTCACCAAAATAAAGAGGTAAACCACGTGTCAGGTCCTTTAGATCTGAAAACTTCGTACTTTATTCATTTAATTTAGGAGTTAATCATTTAATAATCCCCTTAACTTTAACACTCTTTTAGTTTTAATAACTAGTTTTGGGGTTATTATAATTTTTTATCACTTTATTTTGTATTCGTTTTATTTTAACACATATTTATCATAATTTTAGTTGTTTTGATTTATTTATCTGATCAATCCTCATTAGATATTTATGATTTAACCATATTATTTTATGCAAGTTTTATTTTGATCACTAATACAGATTAATTTCTTTTTTTTATTTTTTTATATATTTCAAAATTTAACTCTTTTATTTTTTTTATTTTTTTATTGTATTTCATATTTTATATAATTTTTTCTCTTTTTTATTATTTTTTTCTTTAACTTATTCTTTTATTTATTTATTTTTAAATTTATTTATTTAATTTTTTTTCTTTGTTTTTTTATTTTTTATTTTTTTATTATCTATTTTGATTTATTATTTTATTTATTTTATTATTTATTTAATATTTAATTATTATTTTTTTATTTAATTTGAATAGAATTTTTTAAATTTTAATTTGAATTTTGAATTTTCGTAATTAAAAAAATCAAAAAATTAATTGATACCGAAAATACTGTTCAAATGTGTTAATCATTCCTTGATCGTAAATAGATTCTCGAACTCGACATACTTCTAATAAAATACATATAAATAATATTGTATCCGACCAACATAAATTCGTTTTAAAATAATCGATAACAACTCTAATCAAATTAATCAAGTCGAAACTCAAATTTAAAACCTAACCGAAAAACGGTAACAACACAACAACTCAAAAATATGATGCTTTAAAAACGTGAACCACCCCATCATAGTGATCGCCTTCTTCGTCCGGTGCTGTCAAAATAGGACATGATCAAAAGCAACATATGGATTAAAAAAAATGGAGAAGGGTTTCGGATTTAAAACTCAGATCAAGAAATTGTGAAAAGAGGAGATTCGAAAACCATAAAACAAGAGAAAAGGAGTGCGTTCGAACCTAAAAAAGGAAAAAATAATCAAAACCATAACCCAAAAAAACGAAAAAAGAACCTTACCTTTCACAGTGGAAGACTCCCGTCTTTGCTTCATTGGAATGAAGAACGCCTCTTCATCAACCAAAGGCATCAAGTTTCTTTTAATCCTAAGCCTAGGACCGATTTTGTGGGGTTTTTGAAGTTAGAAGAGTTAGTTTAGACTTTTATGTTTGTAAGAGGGTCGTTTAGGAGTCATCTAACCCTTCATCAGCACCGATCCGGTGGCCGTGGCTTCTCTTTTAGCCATTTCTCCATAAAACGAAGAAAAGGGAAAGGGGAGTAGAGATATGCGGCGTGAGGAGAAAGGCAAATGAATCCTAGTTTTTAAGCCTTTTACTGGTATTTAGGGTTCAATCAAAAGACCCACACATTTCTCAAATGGGCCATTTTTTTAACCTTTCAAATTTTAATGAAGTTCATTTCAGTCTTGCATGCTTTAGTGTTTAATTTTAATTTCAGTACATATATTATAATATATTCATATTAGGTTTCTTGTTTTTCTGGTCATGTTTACATTTGTGGCTTTAGTTTACTGTTATTTTAATTTAGTCATACTTTAATTTTACTTAGTCATATTTTAGGAAGCTTATTTACATTTGTTCATTTGCATTCAAACCTTTATATTTAATCTTATCTAATTTTCAGCATTATTAATCTTCAATTCGTTAGGTTCCTATAGCCATATTTTGTTTATCCTTCATTCTGTTCCATCATTTTATTTTATTTAGCCCATGTAATTTTTTTGATATTTGTATTTTGACTTGTCATGTTGGTACGTTCACATTTTAGTCCATTATATATATATATATATATATATATGCGTTAAGCATACTTCATTTTGTTTTATTATTCTACGTGTGCATTATATCATACTTATATACGTAATATTTTTTAAAACCCTAATATTCTTTATATATATATATATATCCTTACATTTAATGGTATATTTCGAAGCTCTCTTGTAATTTTTCTAGAACTCTTGTCGTAGAATGGACGTGAAAAGTATAACTTGATAAAAGTAGTGTGATTCGACAGCATTCAAATGAAAAGTGAATTTGTAATAAATTAATCAATTATTCAATAAAAAGGATTGTATTTTAATTTTTGACTCGAGTCTATAATTTCCACTGTCATGACAACCTATAAGTGATTAGGTATCGATTTTGTGTGATGTGGATGTGCTTATCATTTCTCACATGTAATCGACTCTATAATCCTTTAAAATGATTTTTCTTAAAATTATTTGAAAAGACGTTATTAGGTATTTGACCTACCTAATCCAAAGGTCGATGGCAACTTTAAATTTTACATTAAACAAATATCCAAATTTCCTAAAATAAATTCTTAATTATTTTAGATTATTTATTTTAAAAAAAGGTTACGACACTGTGAGCATTAAATTTTGATTGGGGCTCAGACATTAGGCTCGAATTAAAGGCCATTTGAATAGACCAAACAAATTCACTTTCAACCCAATCCGACAACTACCTACCTTGTCCAAGGTCCAAACAGTTGAAAAGTTGGATTCAATTTCAATCGATGAATCCCCAGATGATGGAAGTTTTGTTTCTTTCATTTGGACGCTTTGAGCTTCTAAAGGAGATCGGCACTAAAACCTTTCTTTTGTTCAATGGAAATAAGGTATGATTTTAGAAGTAAAAGAATGAGTTATAATTTTAGCATTGGAGCTTCAAATCTATCAAAGAGTTTTTAATAGTATAAAATGAATCGAACTAAATTTTGTTGATTTGAATTTAAAACTCGCCTATAAAGTTAAGTTGGATTATTACTTTGTTTGCAGTGTACGATAAATGGCGCCTCCCTATACGTAACCAGTGACCACATTCGTTTGATCCAAATTCTAGTCAAAAAGTATCGAAGGGTATAATTATGGCAGGCACCCAACTAATAAGGTACATACTTGCACAGTTTACATGACATGCATGCATACACAGTTTGACAAGAAAAAACAAACTGGTCCCAGAATTTCCAATTTCTAAGTTGATAAACTTGATCCAAATTATACATGCAATCTTATACTTTGAAGTCCAATTTTTTTATTTTCCGAATAACCCAAAATTTTAATTCGACTCTAACTCGAAAACCGAATTGATAATTCGAATGGACTCGAAAAACTCAAAATTGAAAAAAAATATCAAGTCGACTTTTACCCTGTTGTCATGATGTCATATCTATTCAACTTAGCAGCATACGATTAATAATTATGACCCTAGGCTTACACTAACACTAAATATCATTATGAAACCCACAATCAAGATTTAAAAAGGATCCCTTTTCTTCTTCTCCTTTTCGAGTTGTTCCACACACTTTTCACTTCTTAACCAAACGATGTTAACCATCTAGAGCACTACCATGATGAATCATCAATTATAATTCTCCATCTAAATAAAAAAAATCGTCTATAATAACCACAACCCAAATATTACCCAAAATTTCACATAAATGTTATTCATGTCACACAAGATTTCCGTCTGTTCCATCTTCTTTTAGAGGATAGGTCAAAATTTGAGAAAAAAGCAACTCGCCCCACGGGTAAGACTAGGTCCATACTTTTGAAAGTGTTTGATTGGCGACCTATTTATGGTTGCTCGTGTGGGGTCGGAGTTTGAGTGTCTTCATAAAATTCAAGCCCCCCATTTGATGCGTGCAATCTTTAGTCTTTAATGTGGCACATGATTTCTCCCTTTGAAGGATAAAATATCGTTTACATTTGTTGGCCGGGAAATAGTCTTTCTTGGATATTCGATTGTATAAAAAGCTTCATTAGTTATCGGGTCCCGTATATTAGTTTTTGGTGATCTTGAATAAAAAAATTAAGTTCCTAATAATTAATTTAAATTAGTGTTTATATTTGTGTATTTAGTCACGATGTGTTTATTGTTATTGTGAACACAACTGATGATATTACAGTTAATGCAAATATTGTAGTTATGAATTTTTAGTAACATATGTTATTGTGGACATTAATAGATCTGAATATCGCGGTTTCGGATGATTTCGTTACCACTATATAACGATCATTGTTGTGGTTACATACCACTACATAATGGTATGTAATCACAACAATGATCGTTATGTAGTAGTAACATACCATTATTTAAGTAATTGTTCCTAATAATAAGTATTAAAAAATAAATAAATTTTAAGAGCGACTTCATAGTAACAAGTATTGAAAGAAATGACTTCACAATAATAAATATTAAAAAAATTAATTTTAAGAGTATACTCATAATATCAAATATTTTAAAAAATAGACTTCTAATAAAAAAAATACTGAAAAATTAGACTTATAATAACAAATAAATATTATAAAAGAAATTGAATTTTAAAAGTATACATCTAATAAAAAATATTAAAAAAATTAAACCCCTAATAACAAGTATTGCATAAAAAAATGTTACATAAAAATATTGATAAAAATTTAAACACTTGTTAAATATTAGAAAAAAAAATATAGGAGTAGACCCCTAATAATAATATTAATAAATTGAGTCGCATGAATCAAATTATCTTAGTGGTTAAATGAATCGTTGTTGTTTCTAGAGCTCACGGTTCAAGCACCATTGACTGCAGAAGGGTGATTGAACATTTATTATCAAATAATTGAGATATTTAGAACAAATATTAATTTATAATCAATCTTAGCTTAATAAAAAAATCGAATCCATAATAATAAATATTAAAAATAGTTGAATTTTGTAATTAATATAAAACTATTTTTATAAATATAATAAATTATAAAAATTCTGGGCTCTAGAAAAATTCTTTTCCGTCGAGGCCCAATACGGCCTGTTAGCTGTTAAAAGATCAATGTCAAGCTGAATCAACATGAATTTGATCCCCCCTCCCCATTGGTTCATCTTTGTCGACCTTAGTTGTAAGGCATGACATTTCTGCCGAAAGATGGCATCAGCCAATAGGGTGAGCACCGTAGGCTAATCAGAGCAAAAAGACTTCAATGATATACATCATTAGGCCGCTCACATGTTTTCTCCATTGACAGTTTCTTTTTAAAGCTTAGATCCACTTATGTGAAACTCTATTTTCTCTATTTAACCCGAAATTTATAATGTTATATTTTAGATTTATAACTTTTAAAGTTCAAAACTTTATTTAAAAATATTTAATATTTTATCGTTCGATCAAATAAAAGTTGAATCGAATACGAAACCTTGTTAGAAAAACAAGCTCTTTCTATTTGATCCATTGTGTGTTGGTCTTCACTGTAAAAAGAGATGGTGTAACAGAGAACTAATCTTAGACTAATCTAATCCATCCATTTTTAGAGTGGGTTTGATTCAACTTTCAAAACTTTCATACAATTAATGATGCTTTTTGTTGAAACAAGTGATCGATGAAATAAAGAAAAGAAAACCTTTTCCTTTCCTAGCTCCTAGTGTCCCTTCAATAAAGTAGTATATTTTTATTTACTAGTAATATTTTTGGTGGGTCGTTAATTCAGTTAAATTCAGTGTCGGACGTTAGTCTACGTCATGCCTGGAAGGCACCACCACCACCACCACCACCGATCCAAGCCAAAAGTTTGTCCTCGTTGCTTGGTCTTTGGCATAAATTTTTTGACTTTAAAAATATCCAGTAATACTAATTAAATAATGGGCCAGTCGCCTTCCCTACCATGACCTATATGAGGGATTATATCTAATGGTTTCTTCAACAAACCCAAAGGTCAGACTCAAATTTGCAGACAAATATTTCTCCAAAAAAAAAGGCCTTTTGTTCTCTGCTCGACCCTCCTTCCTCCTGGTTTCAACCACCCCTAAATTCTTCCAAACTGATTGTATCGTAAACGTTTTTGTTTTGGGGGAGAAAACAGATGCTTCAACATTAATTTTGGTCGTCTTTGAAACCGTTTTTTGGTCTGTTCTTTGAGGTTTTAAGACAGCTTGGTGATTTGGAAGTTTTTCTACAGTTGGGTCTTATCCTTCTTAATTTTCTCTCCTTGAAATTTGGTCTGTTTTGGGAAATTTGGAGAGATTTCAAATCTTCAAGCGGCCATCTGTCACTGAACTTTTTCTCTTGTTGGCAGTTTTAGCGCTGAAGAAAGATTGAGGTAGTTGCAGTGGTAGTAGGGATTTTCACGAGAAATTTGGGTTTTTTCACGAGAAAGTGTGAAGGGCGCTCTCAACTGCTTCACTGATTGTTTATAAAGCCTTTTGTTTGTTTTCTCTTACATGTCCTTGCCGTGTCTTTCACTATGAATAATTCTGGGGCAGCTGTTGAAGTCACAAAGGATAGAAATGGAACTGATCAGA